TTGGCGATATCCTATTGTAGAGCGGTGGTCTGATAGTGTTCGTCTGAGAGAGATAGTGTTTCTATTTTGAAACTTATTGCAATATATTCATAGAAATGTATCTGCTCAGTGCGGCCGATCGTTTGTAAGTGCTCTCGAAGTAACTGCGGGATGCCACTCCTAAATATTATGCTAAGGCCTTTTGTAATACTATACAATTATAAAGTAATAAAGAAGACTAAAGGCAAGATGGCCTAAGTGGAAAAAAAAAATACTATTTTGCTTGTCTTACTGATATACTTTTAATATATTAATTAGTTAAGAAGTTCTGAATTTTGACTTATTCTATTAAAACTATTAATATAGTTAACTAATTCATTCTTAAGCATTGTTTGTTAGAGCTTTCTATATCTACAATTTGACTAATCTAGACTTCAGAACTTATACTAAGTTTGAAAATAAGTACTTGTAATCTTTTATCTTTACTATTATTATCTACTTTTGCTTTTATAGAATTTACCAAAACTCTAGTAAATATTTTATAAACTATTAATTGTATTCTTAACTACTCTAAACTTCTAATTCAGATAATTTTAAAGGGCTATAATCTGCTTTTAGTTTTTATAATTAAGTCTTTTTCTTTCAGTTATTTCTCTAACAATCTAATTGGTAGAATACTAAACACGTAAGTTTTATTTAGTTTTTCTGATTTTCTAGATAATAATTTTTTTTATAGTATTATTAAAGATCTGCACTATCTTTCTATTCAGATTTTGGCATATAGACTTCTATATCCCAATCTACTGATTTTACTTAGCTGCTTCACTTAAGTTTTATATAATATATATATTATACTATTGTTTTACAGCCTTCTAGTATAAGCTGTTATAATTCTATTACAAGTACTGATCTAATAAAATATATTCTTCTAAATGTGTTTCATAAATTTAAATTTTATTATTAATAAAATTTAAACTCTTGTTCTGTAGCTTAGAGATGTGACAACTTACCAACTTCACTAAGTTACTAAATTATTTAATTTTATTTTATTTATATTAGAAAAATATTAATATATAATAGTAGTATAGAATTAAATACTATATATATTTTTATTATAATAATTTAAAGTATGGGTAATTTCATCACTTCTGATACATCATATATGTATAAGATATGTTAACAAAATTTATAACCAATGTTCTAATTAATTAGTATAAAAACAAAGCAATACTTATGGGAAAAAATATATATCAATATAAACTTACACATATATATATATTGCAAACTAGCTATATACTCTATTTTATCAATTTGCAAAATTATAAAGAATAAAACTAAATGTCGAAATAAGGACTTCATTACATATAAAACTTTTTTTTTTATTATGTAAACTGTGTTTGCTCATTAATAGAAAAATGTTTGTAGTGAAATTTTACATATTTTCTAGAATTTTTTGTAAAAATCGGATAATTTTTTATTAATACGATTTTTAATCTAAATACTTATTAAAAAAAATCTAGTTTTTTTTTATTAAAATCTTTAAAATTCAAAATAAATAAAATATTATTAATAAACCTTATTTAAATTATTAATCAAAAATTTTTCCATATTTCAAAATATAAAATAGTAAAATTTGATATTAATATGTAAAAATTTTTCTCATAAAACTTTCAAATTTATAGACGGATCAAAGAAGGATGTGCGAAAAAAATTTAACCAAAATTTCGAATAGTGATTCTTCGAATTAAATTCGAAAATTAATGAGAAAATTTTTTAGATATCTTTATCAAAATTTCAGGCTATATATTTTCGACCATAACGAACAACTTTTACTTAATAGCTTAGTTAGGTTAACAACAAGGATTTTTCGATATTCGCGATTAAATATTTATTAAAATTTTTTTAAAATCGTAAAAATTTTTTTGACTTGCAATTAAAATGAAAAACGTATTAGTAAAAAGTTTTTCAATTTTCATGAAAATTAAATAATATATGCAAAATATCTCCAGAAACATTTTTTAATTAATACCCAAATAACATTTACATAATAAAAAAAAACTTTTGTATGTAGTGATTTCACCGCACGGGCTATAAGCGATCGTCAAAATTTTCGTTTTCTGAACAAAAATCACAAAAATCTTCGTCCCCTGAGCAAAAATCTAAACTTTCATTGTCACTATCATCACTCTCGTCATTTATTTCATCGTCAATCGTTTCCCAATAATTTCTCGCCTTATCCAAACATTTTTTCCAGCACGAAACAACCATATCTGATTTAATTTCCTCCAGGAAACGACGAAGTAAGGTATTTCGAAGAGAAAGAATATTTGGTGGCCGTCGTTCCCCTGCAACCTTATTTTTTACAGCTCCCCACACCATTTCAATAGGTTGTAGCTCACAATGATATGGGGGTGTAAAAAGTAGTCGGTGACCAGAATTCTTTGCAATAGTGATGGTGGAGAAAGGAATTAACGGTTTTTCATTTTTGCCAATTCGTATAATTCTGATTTTGTTATACTTTCGTCAAATTCAATATTGCGAGCTTCTAACCACGTTTTTATTGCAGATTTTTTCCAGTTAGAAGTTGGTGCAGCCTCAGCACGACGTTTGTGGTATCTTGCTCCATCCATATGAATAACGCATGGTCCATAATTTGTAACAAGATTTTCGCAGAGTTTTTTAAAAATTTTTTCAAATACTTCCGCGTTAAAATTCCCATGATAATCCACTTTATCTGGAACAATACCGGCCGCCTTCACTTCATCTGGAACTGTCTTCCATGCTTCTGCATCCTTTTTCTTCCTTCCCTTTCCAGTCGGTGGCTTTGTAGTAGGGTCCCAAATAAGAAGAGATTCATGAACAATCTTCCCCTTCACTTGGTTAGTGTTTCCATTACGAAAAACGACGATAGCACCAAAAATAACCAACATATTACCTTTTCCGTTTTTATAAACCACACCATCTTTCTGAACCCAGGTCAAATTACGATTATGGTGCATATGGCAATACAATTCATCAAGAAAAACTTCTGGAAGAGTAGGGATGTCATTTTGTCCTTGGATATTTTCAAATCGCCAACGAAGATATTGCGCCCGATACGCAATATTCTAAGGGGCTTCATGAAGAATATTTTGTCTCTCTCCCTTGCCATAATGATATCCAAGCTTTTTTAAATGACGTGAGAGTTGTGATTTCGAAATCCTTTTAAAGCCCGATTCAAATAATTCTTGGATAAGGAATTTAAGGGAAAGAGGAAAGCCACTTCGATTTGCAGAAATAACTAGGTTGTGAATTTTATCCACATATTCTGCTTGAAACTCTTTGGGAGCCCGTTGACCTTGTTTTGATGATACAATCTTTCCAGTCCTATTAAAATCAGCAACTACATGAGCGACGGTTGCTTCACCAACTCCTGTTGCCAAGGAAACTTCTTTACGAAGATTGGTGGTTTCCTTTGACTTTAGTTTGGGCATATTTTTTTGAAGATAACAGTGAACAGATAATACCATTATCTTTTCATTATCAGTTAGGGCAATTGGAGTACGCTCGATTTGGGCCATATTAAATTGAACAATTGTGAAAATAAAAAATTTTTTGAAAAAAGAAAGAGATAATTTAAGGTATAGTGC